TTTCAAAGACTCAACCTCAATTGTACACAGTACGCAAAAGACATAGGAAAAAGTGTATTATATTCAGTCAATAGGCTTAAGACTCGTCACCTCAATGTATCAAGAACCATTTTTCTACATAATCCTTTGGTTAGTGGATTAGCTAGGTTCATTTCTGATTTCATATACTCCATAGAGAGTACACCATTCTCTATTAAGTGTCTCACACATTCATATCTCAAACGGATATGTATTTTCTTTCCATTATAGGCTTGATTTTGAGCAACCCATATTGCTTCTTGTGAATCACATAATAAGGAAATGGGAGGCGTAGGCTTCCCTACAAAGGAATATCTGCAATTAGATTCTTAAGCCACTCAACTTCTTGTCCATATAAATCAAGAGCTATAAACTCCAATCCCATGGTAGAGAGAGCAATACATGTCTGTTTAGCAGACTTCCATGAAATTGATACTCTTCTAAAGTGAAAACATAGTCACTCGTAGAACTGATCTCATCATTGTTAGTTACCTAGTTGACATCACAATATTCTTCAACGACAGTTGGATAACTAACAAAATGCAGACTCCAAGTCATAATACCTTTAAGATATTTCAGTAAGTGTTTAAAAGCATTTTAATGTTCGCTACATGGATTATGAGTATATCTACTTACTCTACTGACAACATAAGCAATATTTGACTGAGTGTAGTTCATAAACATAAGGCTTCCTTTAATTTTGGCATACTCACTTTGAGATACGTAATTCCCTTTGTTATTTTTTAAAAATATTCTAGAAATATATGAGGTTCTCGTGGGGTTTACATTAAAGTTATCAAACTTCTTTAATGCTTTTTCTATATAGTGATATTGATTTAAAGAAAACCGTTTATTAGATTTATGACTTTTACCCCTAATATTATATCTACCTCTCCTCAAGTCAGTCATTTTAAATCATGTAGATAAGAACTTCTTTGTTTTCTTAATGGCTTCTATGTGTGTACTAAAAATTAATAAGTCATCAACATATAGACTAATAATAACATAGTTTGAATCAAACATTTTAGTTTACACACGTATCAACATCACTGATTACCATAACTAAGAATCATGACCCCAATATGATACCAACACTAAGATGCATTATTTAAGTCATCATGCATAACTCAAAAGGGATCTCTCTATAAAAGGGATAGTGATATGATCCCTTTTTAGACTCACTATCAATTGATCATTGTTTGAATATTGCTTATATTTTTCACATAAATTATAAGATATGAACCCTTATTGTTCATTACAATCAATTTGTTAATATCAATAAAATTGAGACTAAAATAAGATAGATTGTAAACAAAATTAAACACATATGTAATTATTTATAAACAATTTACTCAATTCAATATGACTTCATCTATGTTGAAAACTCAAATTAGTAGGGTACCCTCAAATCCATTTGTGCACCCAAATCCGGTTGTGTCAAATGGGTAAACTTGAATTTTACCCAATAAAAAGTCCACTTAATTTCTCCTTTCGGTTTGTGTTAAGAAATAAATAAATCACTAACACTTGCAAACTTCACGCGCTTTAAACTGCGGGTGGAAACAGTGTGGTTCCTTTTTCTTTTCGTCAAAGGAGAGTGACAAAAATACCCAACAAAAGATTTTTTTTTTTCGTTTTACATTTGGTCATGTAATAGGCAAAAATACTGTTTTCAAGTAATTTGATTTACGTAAATTATTTTAAATAATCAATTACAATATATCAAACATACCCTAAATAGGCAGTTTGTCTATTTTTTATCATAAAAAACTTGGGTAAACTATGAATTTAGTGCCTAAACTATTAATTTTGGTTTGTGTTAGTACTTAAACTTTCAAAATTTTCAAAATCATACCTAAACGTTTAGTTTTCATTTTATTTTAGTACCCCATCATTAAAAACTTAATTTTTTTACCTAAACTATCAGTTTGGTCATTCTTAGTACCTAAACTTTCATTTTTTTTAAAAATTAACATTAAATTTTGAAGAAATGTATTAAAATAAAACAAAAACTAAAGTTTTTTTAACAGCAAGTGCTAAAATAAAACAAAAATTAAATTTTAAGTAGGATTTTGAAAAAAATAAAAGTTTAGATATTAAACAAACCAAAATTAATAATTTAAGTATTAAATGCATAATTTACCCTAAAAACTTTTATGATAAGTTGAGAGAGAGAGAGAAATCAATTGATTGAGTGATATTAGTTATTAGAAAGAATGTTTTTCTCTTTTGAAGTATTAGATTTAAACATCTACATCTATATGATATTTATGCATTATTAATAATTAACAAAATTTTGAATAAATGTTATCTTATAAACACATTAATGATTTCTTTTAGCAAAATAAAGTGGAAAAATAGGCGACAACAAAATCTACAACCCCAAAACTCAAAAAGTGAAACAATTTGAGGTAACCGAAAACAAAGGAAAACCCTTAACTATAGTTGACTAAAACTTGGAATAAACCTATCAACCACGGTTAACTTATCTTGTTATTGGTTAACCACTGCCTTAGCTTTGCTTTCGGACTTGAATCTGCCTTAGCTTGAAAAAAAAAGGGAAGAAATATTCTTAGTGCATTTTTAAACTTTTATAAACATTACCAAGGTAAGTAAAGGGCGTTTTCCCCAAATTTATCGATATAGTACATTTTATAACAAATTGATAATAAGACGCGTAATTGAAACACATTTTAGTTTAGGTGGGCAGAAGACACGTCTCATGGGGTGTGTTTTCAGGAGAAATGTTAACATAGCACCACGTGTGAAGGTCCGTTTCAAGGACCGTGCCTTCCAGGGTTTTTTTGCCAAATCAAATTCCTAAAAGCATTTTTTTAAAAATATTGTAAAAAATTGAAAAATAAAACTATAGGGACTAACAATGTAATTTAATACATATTAGTTTAATGAGTTGAGAGCTTAATGGTGTTAATTTATATAGGCATATTGATGTGTTTAGGTTATGTTTCTTGACAATGTAGGATAAAAGCTAAAAGATGTATTCCTTGACTTTTGTATCTCTATATCTAATGAATCTACTTATACACTATTGTTAAATTATATTATGTTAATATTTATTATTAAGGTTTATATTAATTAAGATTAGATATTTTTGATATGTTAACATATTTAAATACTTATTTTTTTAATTATGAGTTCAAAAAATTGAAGTAACACAAATTAAAAATATTTCATTGATATATAAATGTATTTATTATTAAATATGATTAATTAGATTATTACGTGATCCTAATTGTATGATTATATAACTTATAAAAATATTTATATTATCATTGTAGTAGTAACAACTAATGGTGTTACAATTTATATACATAAATTTTGTTCTATGATTTTTTTAATCATTGGTGAGGACAAATTTTTATATAAACCTCACATCTTACATGTTCATGGCACCAAGCAATATTTTTTTTCTTCATATTTTTATATTAAATTCAACTTAAATTATAGATCTAATTAATCATATTCAATAAACAATACATTTATATGTCGATGAAATATTTTTAATTTGTGTTACATAAATTTTTTGAACTCATAATTAAAAAATAATTATTTAAATATATAAACATAGAAAAAAATATCTAATCTTAATTAGTAAACCTTAAGAATAAATATTAACCTAATGAAATATAAAAAGAAATTACAGAATACTCATTTTAGCTTTTATCCACATTATCAATAAACATAACATAAATACTCCAATATGTATATATAAATTAGCATCATTTGACTCTTCAACTCATGGAACTAATATATATTAAATTATATTGTTGGTCCTATAGTTTTTTTTTTTTTTTAAATATATGTTTTAAATATGCTTTTAGGGAATTTGATGTGACAAGATAATTTTGGAAGGCATACATCTTGAAATACGTATTCTCATATAGTGTCATATTAACATTTCTCCTAAAAAACGCATAATATTTTCCTGGAAAGTGTGTTCCAAAAGATGCGTCTTCGGTCCTGTCAGAAAAATATTAAATCGATAAAATTTGAAGAACGATGTCTATCAATAATATTTATTTTTGGGTAAGATGATAGTAATAAACCAATATTTAATTACATTTTTAATTGACAGATGACAGTTAATAAACCAATATTTTAACAAGCATTAAACACTTGCATGTTTCATAAAAAAATGAAATATGGATAGGTTTTCTTAAAGATCTTTGTTGGTTTGCTGGCTGAGTTTCGCTCAGATCCGAAGAAAAAGGGAAATAACACAAATTTGATAGTAAAATAAATTTGAGTTAATATTTATGTTTTTGGGTATTACTTATTATTGGTTTTAATAATTATTATAGGTGTTAAAAGGGTGTTGTGTTGTTTCAGTGTATGCTTTTTGGACACTTGCATGATCCAAAAAGTTGCCTCTCTTCTTCTTCTTCTTCTTTGTGCGCTAATGGATTCTTTATCTGCTTCTGTGTCGGCCAACTAGTAAATTTCTTTGATTGAATCCTTGAAAGAAAGAATAAAAAATAGACTTTCAAGGAAGATTCATCACTGTTTTCCTTCTTTTCCTAGATATCCTCTTTGGGTCTTTAAAGGAGGAGAATTTGGAGGAGGCTTTTTGTTACAGAAACTTTGTGTGTTGATTGTTACTCAGAGATTTCTGGGTTGTTTTATGGGATCAAAGAGAGTGTAAAAGTTTATTTTTTTCGTGTGTGTATCTTTAGTTTCTGGGTTTTTCTTCTTGTTTGTATTGGATCTTAAAGGTTTTGTTGGTGAACTCAAAACTTGGTGAATTGAACAGTGTTTTCCTTTTGTCTGTAGTGAATTTGTCAGTATCCTAGGAGCATCTTTTGGTGTTCATAGCTGTTAAAGAGAGGCAACAAAAGCTATTGAAATTGGAGAAAGATGGGGTTTTTGGGAAGCTTTGAATGTTATTTGAATCTGATGTTGACTCCGTTTGTGGTAACAAAATGTTGAGATTCTGTGGAATTCCAAGTTTTTGTTTCGGATTCTCTTTCTGGTGAGGACTGAAGATTTGCACTGTATACTTTGCTGGATTTTAAAAAAAAAAAACACGCTTTCGATTACAGTGTTCTTTGATCATACGTACTTTTCAAGGTACTGATTTCAATTCTAATTCAACTCATTTATTTCTGAAACCCTGTTCTCTCTCTCCCCCCCCCCTCCCCCCGTTTTTGTTGTTGAATTTGATGAATAAATCTCTTTTGTTGCAGCATTTACTTGAACAGACAAAAGGGAACTGGAAATTTCACAGTTAAAATCATTTTTATCTTTCTTGAGAGATGATTACTTTCATGGACTCGAAGGAGAAACCAAAAGAGATGGAGAAATGCTTGGATTCTCAACTATGGCATGCTTGTGCTGGTGGAATGGTTCAAATGCCTCCGGTTAACGCCAAAGTCTTTTACTTTCCTCAAGGCCATTCCGAGCACGCTTCCGGCACTGTCGATTTCAGGCACTGTCCTCGAATTCCGGCTTATATAATCTGCAGAGTCGCCGCCGTTAAGTTCATGGCCGACTCCGAAACCGACGAGGTTTTCGCGAAAATCAAGCTGACCCCTGTTAATGGTGATGACCCTGATTTTGAAGATGATGGAACTGGAGGCGTTAATGGGAATGAAACGCAAGAAAAGCCTGCTTCTTTTGCGAAGACATTGACTCAATCGGATGCTAACAATGGCGGCGGATTTTCGGTTCCGAGGTATTGTGCCGAAACCATATTTCCCAGATTGGATTACTCTGCTGATCCACCTGTTCAGACGATTTTGGCCAAGGATGTCCATGGTGAAACCTGGAAGTTTAGGCATATTTATAGGGGTACCCCAAGGAGACATCTTTTGACTACGGGCTGGAGCGCTTTTGTTAACAATAAGAAACTTGTAGCCGGGGATTCGATTGTGTTTTTGAGGGCGGAAAATGGTGATCTTTGCATCGGTATTCGAAGGGCGAAGAGGGGAATTAGTGGAGGACCCGAGAGTTCTTCTGGATGGAATACTACGGCCGCGAATTGTATGATCCCATATGGAGGATTTTCACCTTTTCTGAGGGAAGACGAAAGCAAGTTGATGAGAAATGGAAGCAATAATAGGATTAGCTCGAATGGTAATTTGATGGGGAAGAAAAAGGATAGGCCTGAACACGTTATCGAAGTTGCAACACTTGCTTCCAATGGCCAACAATTCGAGGTCGTTTACTACCCGAGGGCGAGTACCCCAGAGTTCTGCGTGAAGGCCTCTTTAGTTAAGGCTGCATTGCGGATCCGGTGGTGTTCGGGAATGAGATTTAAAATGGCGTTTGAAACAGATGATTCTTCTCGGATTAGTTGGTTTATGGGCACTATATCTTCGGTTCACGCCACAGATCCCCTTCGCTGGCCCGACTCTCCTTGGAGGCTTCTTCAGGTCCGTTTTCCTCACTTCTAAATAGTTGTTTCTAGGATAGCTTATTCGGAAATGTATATGGCAATTTGTTTATATTTGTGTATCTTGTGTCGCAAATCGATATAAAAGCTGTAATTGACCTTATATGTTTGGATCCGTTGAATGGTCAATTGGAATATGATCTTTATATGATCAAGTTTCGCATTGCAGGTTACATGGGATGAGCCAGATTTGCTTCAAAATGTAAAACGAGTGAGTCCTTGGCTAGTGGAATTGGTTTCGAACATGCCCGCGATTCATCTGTCTCCCTGTTCACCACCAAGAAAGAAGCTGAGACTGCCGCATCACTCGGATTTTCCCTTCGATGGTCAACTTCCAATGCCTACATTTTCAGGCAACCTCCTTGGGGCCAGCAACCCCTTTGGGTGTTCACACAACACTTCTCCTGCTGGCATGCAGGGAGCCAGGCATGCTCATTATGGTCTATCTTTATCGGATCTCCACCTTAATAAACTGCGGTCGGATCTCTTTCCGGCTGGTTTCCCATCACTCGATTATGCTGCTACACCCAATAGGACCTCCATTGGTGGCCCAAACATGCGAAAGACTAGCATGAGTGATCACATTTCTTGTGTGCTAACCATGGCCCATCCTACACAGAATTTCAAGAAAACCGACGATGCAAAGACACCTCAGCTTGTACTTTTCGGCCAGGCAATTCTTACCGAGCAGCAAATCTCCCTCAGCTGCTCTGCTGATACAATCTCTCCTGTTCTTACCGGTAATAGTTCTTCGGAATACCTGGATAAGACTGCAAACTTTTATGATGGTTCCGGCTCTGCACATCATCAACAAGGTCTTCCAGAGCGTGCATCCTGCGAAGGTCTCCACTGGCACAAGGATAACCGCCAAGAAGCTGAACAGAACTTAGAGATCGGTCACTGTAAAGTTTTCGTGGAGTCAGAGGATGTCGGTCGTACGCTTGACCTTTCATTGCTGGGGTCTTATGATGAATTGCAGAGAAAGCTGGCAGACATGTTCGGAATAGAAAACCACGAAACTCCGAGTCATTTACTGTATCGAGATGCCACCGGTGCAGTCAAACAAATTGGAGAAGAACCATTCAGGTAAAACTCACTCATCCTCTACAACTTACGTTTTTACAAATCCATCTGTTAACGGACGACAAAGGATTGTAATCAGTTTCTCGTTGCCATTACAGTGACTTCACGAAAACTGCTAGGAGGTTAACGATCCTAACTGATTCAAGCAGCGACAAATAAACCTTGATTCCAACATGTATAGCTGACTGCAACTCAAGTCCGTGTTGTGGACTTGCAATCGGTAAAACCGTCGCTTATTCGGAGTTGTTAATTTCGATTTCTAAACATTTTTCTTGGTATCTTTGTTCCTTGGTTTCATAGGACCTGTTCTTGGTATGTAGGACAGGGTCCTATGTATTTAAGGGGCTTTATATGTCCCATTTTATTGTTTTCTTTCCCCTTTTTCCTTTGGGGGAACTGATTTTAAAGCTGTTAAAAGCGAAAGCCAAAACAACATCCCTGCCCTGTCTGTACTTTCATTTCGTTTATGATCCAGAAATGTGGATTAAATCTATACAGAATTTACATAAAGCTCCCAACTCCATCAAATGTTCATTAACTAAATTTGATAGAATTATTGTTTTATATTTATTTTCTGCTTTTATTAAAAGGTTAAGAAAATAACGGAAATATGAATAAGATACCCTAAATGGAAACAAACTTATGGGTACGAGTATGAAATAAAAATTGTAGGAAGATGAGCATTTGGTTGTGACGAGGTGCAATGAGATTTAGAAATAAGAACAAATATTTAAGTTGACTAAATTAATTTAGTGTATATGGAACAAAATGCTTCACGTTACAACAGATTCCTACATACAAATGGAAACTCTAGGCCAACAAAAAAAATAAAGAAATAGAAAATTTAATCAAAACAGAATCGTTTTAAATACATATATTATTAAAACCATATTTAATTATTAACAGTTTTGATAAAAAAAATTCGTTAGATATGACACTTATTAAATAAATAAGGCTTCCTAATGCAGCAAGTTTGGATTAAATAATTAGAAATCAGACATTGGGATTGCAAACTCAAATACAGAGTCGAGAGAAAGAAAACCAGGAAGCTAAATCAAGTAAATGTGAATCAGGACCGCACGCATGATACAGAAAGCCAGGGACGCACGTCCGATAAATATAATTATATTACGTAGGAGTTGCTACGTGTGAATATTTCAATAAACAAAAAAGTTTGTAATTTTTTTTTGTTTAATAACTTATATTTGTTTGGGTAAAGTACACATATGGTCCTCTGTTTATAGGATGTGATTTTGTTGAGTACTCTGACTATTAAAAATTATAAAATAATCCTCTAATTTTTCAAACTCATCATTTTTCTTTAAAAATTGACGGCCGACTGAGTTCGACATTAACCATCTGACTAAGATATGACAAAATTATATTTTACTGGTATTTACTGGCACCGTCGTTGCTTTCAAGCACTTACTTGACGGCAAGGATGGACTTAAGGGGGATTGGGTAGGGGCAGTCGTCTCCTAAAAATCTAAAATTATCATATATTTTAATTATTTTTTATTGAAAATCTATTTTCGCCCATTAAAATTTAATTAGTTCAAGTTCGCCCCTTGAAATTTCATAAGTTCAAGTTCGCCCCTAACTTAAAATCCTGTGTCCGTCCCTGTCCACGATGTAATGTAGGGATGGCAAACGGGTGGGGCGGATGCGGATACCCCTTTTCCTATCCTTATACCACCTAATATTTTCGTATCTGTCGACACCGTTTTTCACCCGGGTGGGGAAAAACTAGTACGACTTAGGGGTTTTTCTTTGAAAATATTTTCAAATGTGAGGAGTCACCGCCAACCATTTAAGGTGCGATTGGAACACCATAAAAATTGGGTGATTTTAATAAAACATTTTATTTTACCAAAATATCGAGTTTTGGGGTCTATGAAAATCCATAAATCAGGCTCAGAAGTCAGTTACGCGTGGGGAAGGGTTAACACCCCTACAACACCCATAAATTAGTACCTAGTTAATTACCCTATTTAGAAATTTAGAAATTTTGAGATCGGACTTTATTTAATAAAAATTTTACTATAGATTCACTGTTGAAAATGATGTTTGATTATTTAAACCAATAATATTCTCCCCCTAGCATGAATGTGGGAGATCAATTATTATGCTCAATAATCGAACATTGCCTTGAAATTTTGGAAACATGACAGGGTTTTCGAAAAGGATGTCGACCTACTTTGGGAATCACCAGTAGTCACCCTGAGCATACTTACGGGAGATATACTATTTATTGACTCCCTAATAAATGAATATTGCCTTGTGTTTGAAATCATAATACAATCACATACTATAGATTCACAGTTGAAAATGATGTTTGATTATTTAAACAAATAATATTCTCCCCCTAGCATGAATGTGGGAGATCAATTATTATGCTCAATAATCGAACATTGCGAAAAGGATGTCGACCTACTTCGGGAATCACCAGTAGTCACCCCTGAGCGTACTTATGGGAGATATACTATTGACTCCCTAATAAATGAACATTGCCTTGTGTTTGAAATCATGATACAATCACATACTTTATTATTAAACCTAATTAAACTAAGGGTTGATTGAGGCTTTTTCTAACTTAAAGTGTTAAATTATGAAAATTAAAGAACTTAGGGCTAAACCTGAAAGTGGAGTCTCTAATATTAAATCCAATTTATTTTAACCAATTATTGAGTCGAATAATCGAAATGGTCTTTTGAGGCATATTAATGTGAAAGCCAAATCGAATTATTCCCTAAAATAAAAGTTTAGGGACTAAATCTAAAGAAACTAAAATTCAAGGATTAAACCTAAGGTCTAATTACTCTAGTAGGGATTAATTTAAAAGAAAACTAAACCTAATGATTCGATCTAAAATTAAAATTCTATGACTAGATTGAAAGGAATATAAATTACCCAACAAAATTAAATATAGTTAAAAAGAACCAAGAGATAAACTGTAATAAAATAAAAATACAGTAGTTAATTTGAATCCAAACAGTAAGGATGGTAACTAAATAGCAAACCAATGAAATAAGGCATCAAATTCGAAACATAAAAAATAATAACCAATATGTTAAAACACGCCGAAAGTGCAAGGACCATAATGTAATTTTACCTTCTAACAAACCATATCAAATCATAGAAGTGCAAAAAAGGAAAAATAGCACAAATAAGACATACATTCAAGATGAAATTAAATTATACAGAACGGGATGATCAAAATGAAAAATATAGAAGAATTAGAGGGATCACAATGCAATTATACAAATTATATATTTCAACCCAAATAAAAAGGAAATCCACACAATCAGGACAATAATTTCTAAATTAAAATAAAAACAAAATCAGGGACTAAGATGAAATTAAACTTAAAGTGTATGCTTTAATTGTTAACCTAATTAATTATGTTAATTTAAAATTCTAATAAAAAGCTTAAGGAGTAAAATGTAAAATCACGCGTAAAGTAGAGGGACTTGAAAGAAATTAGACCAAGAATTAATATTAGAAAATAAAAATGAAAAATTACAAAATAAGGACAAAATTTGAATTTAATTAAGTAATTAAACAAATATGGTGACCAAAATGAACTCAGTTAAACTTGTGAGGTTTGCGCGCGTGGTTGAACCCTCAAGGCCAAAATGTACATCATCAGGAGGGAGCAAAACGACGCGTTTTGAGGTGCTCGGGCAGGTGCCAAAACGACACCATTTTGATGTGTCTATAAATAGGTTGAATCCCCATTTTTTTTTCATTTTTACATGAAATTCTCTTTCTCCTCTCCCGATATGCTATTTTTTTCTCTAGCAACTGGGGACGAGCATCACCACCGCCCGTCGCCTACTGTCACATCAGTCACCATCGCCTGTGGTTGTTGGCCATTAAACTTTTAAGGTTCATTCATATCATCTGGCGATTATCGATCCGACCACCATTTTGCGAGATCTAGACTCAAAGCCCACAAAATAAATAGTGAACTTCTCAGCTTCCAACACTTTAATGTCCGTTTTCATCCGTCAGATCGGGGTGGTTCCGAAGTATGATGTTCCTAAGGCGAAGACGAGTCTTCTCACCATATAGATGGACCATCGAACATCCCTTACGTCGGTAAGACGCTCCATCCAGACGATAAACTTCTCTCCGTCTCTCTTTTCTCATCTTTCTTCATTTTTGCTTGTATTGGTCTCTTTATCTAGTGTCGATTGAAGTAGAAAAAATAAAAAATAATAATGCTTGGTTTTGGTTAGTTTCGAAACAAAAAATTGAAGAATGGATGTTGAAAATATGTTTGTATTTCCTTTGTTAAAATCCAGAGAGAGACATATGCTACAAATGTATTTTTTTCGAGAGCCCCCCTTTTTCATTGGTTTGTTTGGGTTTTATAACAACCTAATTTTCCTTAAATATTGAAATATAAAATTACAAAGTTTCATTTCTTTTGTCTGCATGTGATCTGTTGTGGCTAAGCTGGGGTTGGTTGGTGGCATAATGATGGCAGGAGGGGAGTGGAGATGGCAGGGAGATAGTGCAACAACAGTAACTGGGGCATTTAATGCCCTGGATATTGAGGGATTGCTTTCCTTTTTTTTTATGATTTTTGGTAATAATAATAATTTTATAGTAATAAATATTTTTTAAGATAAAAACGGTGATTACAACTGCCCTTTTTGCTCATTGTTATGAAACATGAATGAAACAAAGATAATAAGCACCATTTTTTTCCGGCCTAAAATTTTGAAGTTCTTGAGCTACAAGTTCTTATTATGAACTCTTTATTCTCATGGGATGAACTATTCTTTGGGAACATTGATCCATCTCCTTATATGATGGAATCGAGCAAATGTGACACTGATCTAACTCCTTATGTGATGGATGAGTCAAGATTTGAACAAGTTTTTTTCATTATGAACTTCTTCTCCCTCATCAGACGAGTTATTCTCATTATGAGGTCTTTAATAGAAATGTTGACCACCTCATTCTGTGATGAAATCGAGTGAAATGTTGAACAAGTTCTTCTCATTAGGAACTTCATCATTGGAAGTGTTGATCCACCTCCTTTTGTGATGGATTCGAACAAAGTGATGATGCTGATCCAACTCCTTATGTGATGAATGAGCGAAGTTCGGTGTTGTTCCTACTCCTTACGTGATAGAATCAAGCAAATGTTGAGTAAGTTCTTCTCACATTTTTACAAGAAATCCTCAAATGAAACCTTTGTTGACTCTTTGAATTCCTGGCAGAAATTCAAAACTTGATGAAAAATGAATGTGTATGCTCCTATTTTGAAAATGCCTAAATATGCATGCACGATGTCATTTCAGTGTTGTAAATTCTATTGTCTAGTAAATCTTTGCTCCTTTATTTTCACTGATTTTTTGTCTTTATTGAGTTAATCCTGGAGATGACACTGCTCACTCGCATTGAAACGATCTGGCCACTTCCTGGTAAATAGATGACTTC